TTATCTCCAGTGAACCACTAGAAAACTGTTAGTGGAGCTATGGCTCAAAGTGGCAGAGTGCTGGGTTTGAGCAAAAGAGCTGTGGTATAGTGCCCAGGCCCAATACACACACACACACACAAACACACACACCACACACACACACACACATACACCACACACACACACACACACACACACACACACACTTCCAGCCTCAGATTTCTAAATAAAAGTTGACGATGACCCGCAACCTGCCTTATGAGGATGCAGGACCAGGCTGACATCCTCGTTATAGAAGTTAAGACTTGAGGGATGATGGTCTGTCCTGCTTTGGGGTGGCCTGGGGGAAGGGGGTGGAGGTCCCAGAGATTCGCCAGCATCAGGAAGCATTTTAGGGTCGCATTTAATGCCATCTCCTGTCCCGCTACCAGCTAACCTGTCTCCTCACCCAGCCAGCCAGACGTCTTTATCTAGGAAGCCTCTTTCTGATGGCAGCTTCATTGGCAGCCTCTGTGCCATTCAGTGGGGAGTGGAAGGGGGGGGGGGACGTGGATCAAGACAGAGGTAGGAATGACTGATGGGAAAGAGCTAAGCTGTTTGACTGGATTAGGGCCTTGTGCGATCAATCCATGCAGCCGATGTTCAGTGTGCCCCTCCCGCCACGGCCTCCACCACACACCCTCAGAAAATCACCTCTCCACGCCGCCCCACGGGGTCCCGTGCCCCACCCAGTCAGCACAAATGCACCCATTTCACCTCTCCATACCAAAGGGAGCCTGGGAGAGAAAATGGTTTAAAGCTATGTTTTTGGTGTTCCCCCCCCCAGCCCCCACCTGACCAATTTGAAATCTCCTATAGTTTGGGATGTTTGATACTCAGACAAGGACCTGGAAGTTGAAGTCTGCTTCTAGAGTATTCTGCAGAGAAAGGATCTTGGAAGAAAACGAATAGCTTGCCCGATGAATGGTAAAGGGAACGCGTGTTCTACCCATGGACACTCACACATCCACAAACAATTCGTATGCTAATTTCAAATGATTTTTGTAAAAAAACGTCCATTAAGTCCCCAGATACAACCACGCATCAATATGATTCCTGCGGCTGAAGCTGGCTTCAAACACGAAGTCTCCACAGAGCCCGCGCTTCATAGCTCTAAACTTTTGTCTACTAAAGCATTCAAAAGAGGAATTAAGTTAATACTAGGTAACATGACCACACTTCCTTGGCAGGGGTTAAAGGGGGTCTCTCTCTCTCTCTCTCTCTCTCCTTCAGACATCTTTTTGAGTCATATTAATTAGCTTCCTTCCAGGTAGAATGGAATGAGATTTGGCTATGGTGGAATTTCACCCTTGATGGCCCAAGGGTATCCCCGTTACATTTTCCCTTCCATTCTAGAATAATGACAGACATCACCCCTATAAACACTTCTTGCTATGAACTGCTCATTAGAGAATCACTGTCCGTTTGATCAACTCAGAGAATACAATTGTGATTTCCCCCACAAGGAGTTTGTGCTTTTGTTTCAGACTGGTACAAAACCTTCTCTTCCTTCTCAAAGCCCACATGGGACTCCCTAAGATATTGCACCAGGTGATGGTGAGCCCTACCACACAGCTCACCTGCCCTTCGAGGGGAGGAAGCAGACTGATGGAGACACGCCCCTCCCATTGCGTTCTCATTCAGGAGTTGAAATCTCCAAACGGTGATTGGCAGTGTTGAGAGAGAGAGAGAGAGAGAGAAATGGGTAGGTACAGAAAATAAAACAGGGTCCACTGGCTTCCTTTTAGCCATTAGCTTTGTGATGGAGCCTGCTCTCGTTAAATTTGGGTGCGCCCAAGCCTCGTGTGGACGGAGTTCTGCAGGACTCTGTCCATACGACCCACCCTCTTCTCATTACTTCTATGTTCAAACTAACCAAACAGATGGGACAAAGACAAAGCCACTTATCCAAGGATGCACAGGCAACCAAGGGACCTGGGTGAAATTCCCAGGTTCTCTGGCCGCTCACATCCGCACTGGGCCATGGTGATCTACGGTCCTCCACTCTGCTGTGCTAGTCTGACATCACCAGCAGACATCTGCTTGCAACTCCATACGTGCTGAAGCTCCTGCTTCATCTAGGATGGGGTCGGGGGTGGGGTGGCAGGGAGAGGAAGAAGGGAGAGGCCAGGCGGGATTGTGCTTGGAGTGCAGTTGGACGGTGCATGTCTCTGGGAAGCCCGCAAATGGGATGCATGCATGCTTCTGTCCGGGTGCTGAACTGTCCTCGGAGATAAACTTAGACTCTCCTGGGAAAGCTTCCGAACAGGGAGGTGCCCTCCTCTCCATGCAAGCAGGTCTCTGGCAGAATTGCTGGTGATTCATCCGCCCCTCCTCCTTCCCTCTTCCTGCAGATGGCTATTTGTGCTGACCCACTGAATGTGAGCCCGGCTTGACTTAGGAAACTAGACATTTCTAATGAGACCTGGTCCCCAGATTGCCTCTGAGGGAGGTCACCAGAGGTCGGCTGATGTCATGTTCAGTATCTCTCCCCTTCTCACCCCAAGCACTCGGCTTCCAACCATCACTAGATTCAGCTGACTAGATTTGCTTGAGAGCAGGCACGGTTCTGGATCTCTAGGCAGATGGAAACTCAAGCCTGCATTTCCTGAGGACTTGAATACGCGCATGCATATGCCCTGCTCACGATTTACTCCAAACCGAGAGAAACATTTATGGAAGTGGGATCGTGTTCTACAGCCACACCCGCTACAGAAGTATTCAACAACAGCCTTCTGGCCTGACGTAAACCAAAGGCTTTCAGACTCCAGCTTCAGGCTGGTTTCCGGGGGGCAGGGGACAGAGGGAGAAAGAGAGACAGACAGACAGACAGACAGACCGAGACAGAGAGACAGACAGACAGACAGACACACAGACAGAACTAGAATCTTAAAAGATACCACAAGTGAAATGATACCAGGGCTGGGCAGGGTGGGTGCATAGTGTAAGAATCTGAAGACGGATTAAACTAGAATGAGCACACAGCTATAGAGAACAAGGGTGAGGGGACTTGATATCAACGCATGCGATCAAGATGATCACCAAGCAAAGGGCATGCCAGCCGCAGACAGACCCCCCCCCCCGTCAATCAACACAGAAAAGTTGCCAATGAAACAGACGTGAGAGAATAGTTTTCCAATGCAAACGCCACCAGGTAGCTTGCCTCTCTCACCCTTCCTCTCCACACGGGCACCCTCACCACCCCCGAAATAGATCAAAGACCCCAGATTGAATGCCACACTCCAAGTTTTGAATAAAACCTCCCCTTGGCTCTCAGACAAGGACATTTTCTCTGGCCAATACAGCATTTGATCTGGCAACACTGGGTTCGTGGAGAATCAGGAAGATTGACCTGCTGACGTCAAAACTCTGGGCATCAAACTCCTCAAGCAGAGAAGCAGTCACTTTTAATGGCTCTTGGTGTCATTGTCCTCCTCCCCCTCCCCCCCATCAGTGGCCGTCCTTCCCCTTTCTCCACTGGTAAAATAAGGAGGAAAACAGCCTCTTAGACCCCACTGGCCCACCCTATTGTGTTTCTTGTCTATCCATGCCGAACACGGGGCACCCATTTGTTCTAAAGATCTTCTCTCTACACGGGGAAGAGAAGTTGTCCAGGATGGCTTTGATGTCTCAGGTTGGAATCGCAGGAAGGTTCCAACCCACACACAGCTCCTGGAAAGTTTACACGCAGCTGTAACCATGCCAGGTCTCCCGTCCAAAGCACTTCTGCAGACGTGTTTTCCATCTATTCCCTAATGCAGCCTGCATTAGGGAAGTCTGAGAATTCCCCATCTTACTCCTTCTTCTTTTTTTACCCCCCCCCCCACCAAGCCCTCGAGAACTGCTAAGCCAACACCAGCAAAAGATGAGTTTTCATCCTGCTTTGATTCCCCCCCCTCCCCCGCTTTGACAGAAGGGGAAACCTTCTTGCTTCCATTCTCAAACTCTTCCTCATTAAATGATGTATGAAAAGAATTGGGTTTTCTCTTGTCTGGGAACATTTCTTCTTTCCTCAACCTCTTTTTTTTTCTCCCTCCTCATATCCCGCTACGTTTCCTGCTTCTTCCTTTCCTTTCCTTCCTTATCTTCTACCCTCCTGCTTTTTTAAAAAATTAGCTTCCGCCCCAGGATCTGTGCTTATCCCTAAGTTCAAAGCAACCAGATTGGTTTTTGTTTTGTGTGTGTGTGTGTGTATGTGTGTGTGCGTTTAAGAAACCACATCAAACTCTTCCAAGACCAAGTTCTCAGTCTTAGATTTTGTCCCCTGACTTTGAGACCTGTGTTTTGGATGGTGGAGAGGTAGAAAATTCAGGGCAGCAAGCAGAATCCCTGAAGGAGCAAGTGGATTGGGGTGTATTTGAAGGAACACCATATGGGCATATTTTTTTGTCTTTTTTTTTTTTTTGTCTTAGTGATCCAAGCTCTGGGTTTCTGAGCTGAGGATAGGCATGTGCTGCTGCTATTTCTGAACACTGCCTGAGAGGTGTTTCCATCTTTTTCTTGTCCAACAACCCTCCAAAGCCAGCTCCAGCCCTACCTTCCCTCTGCCCCTCTGGCCCTCTGAGTTCTGGGGGATGGAGGGGAGGGGAAGGAACAAAAAGAAATGAAAACTTTTTCAGCCAAGTCGTACTCCTCCCTCCCCCCCACCACACACACACACACACACACATACACAAAGCTTGCCTAGACAATTATTGGGGGGGGGGGGTTGTTCCTAGAGATTTGCCCCGCCTGCGACCCAAATAATATAATCAGCTTCTTTTCTTACAAAAGCAAATTAGTTCCCGGGTGCCAGCAGGAGATAGGGAAGAGTGACACCGAACGACAGGCGCGCCCTGGCCCAGCTGCTGGCATCCAGCCCCCCAGGGTGAAGGACACGGGCCAAACAAGGGGGGACAGGGAGAAGGGAAGGGGTAGGGGCGTAGGGGAGGACGGACCCGTTCCCAAGTCTCTTCCCCTCGGAAGAGAGTGGTCCTTACCTCGGTGGAGGCTTGCGGGCTGTGATGCTGGCGACGATGATGCTCTCCGGGCGCGGGGTGGCCACCGCTTTGAAGGTTCCCCGCCAGAACTTCTCAAAGAGCTGCTTCTCGCCCTGCTGAACGCTGGCCATTTGTCAACCCCACGCCCGCCCCGCCGGGGACCCCCCCACCCCAGCGCGTCCCGGGCGCTGTCCGAAGTGCTGAAAACGTGCAGCTCCGAATAGAGGCGAGGCTGGGGTCCGGGGGTGGTGGTGGAGGAGGTGGAGGTGCGCCCCTAGGCACGGACTGGGGTGGGCGGGAGGAGACGGTGGCCAGGGCAGGGCCTGGGTCTGGACAGACAGCCGAGGGAGAGAAGGACGGGTCCACCCCGGCTTTCTTTGCCTCTTTCCCTTCCCTCGGTGGCTCTCCGAGCTGCGGCGCTCCAGGATGGGTGGAGGCGCCAGGGGATGCGCCCCGGGGTGGCGGGGAAGGAGAAGGGGAAGCCGGCGTCTCTGTTCCCCCACCCCCACCCCGCGCCCGGGGAGAGAAAGAGCCCCGATCGTCCGCGGTGCGAGCGCGTGTGCGCCCCGGCGCGCCCGGGTTTTGTCTCTCCAGCAATGTGACGTGGGTCGCGCGAGCTGCCCTCTCCTCCCTCCCCCCTCCTCCTCCTCCTCCTCCTCCTCGGCGTCCCTCCTCCTCCATCAACCTCCCCTCCCTTCCCCTGGCTCAGCCTCCTGCCTCCATCTGCATAACAAAAGCCCGCAGGTCTGGGGAGGAGCCAGGCGGGGCGTCCCCCCCACCCCAGCCCCCCAACCCCGCTCACCCCCACCCCCAACGCACCCCATCCCGGCCACGCCACCTTCCTTCCCACCCCACCCCCCGCGGGATCAGCTCCCCGGGAGCGGGTGGGGGAGGGGGAGGAGGGGGGGCGCAAGTACAACAAACTTAAACGTATTGGCTCCTCCCCACTTCGGGGAGGGAGGGACCCGGGGAGGCCTGCAAAGCCGGGTTGGGGAGGTCGGGGTCCCCAGCGTTGTTCTTTACGCCCGGGCCCTCCCCTCTGCTTCCCCCCTCCCTCCAACCCCGCACCCAGAACACGCGATTGGATGGACAATCCGTCCGCACCTCGCCATCTGCCGAGCCGGCCCGCACCCGCAGAGGGGCGCGGCGCTACATCTGCGCCCGGCGCTCCCAGGGACACCTCCTTTGTGCCTGCCCGGCGAACCCCCGCCCCCCCCAAACTGGGGAGGAGGGGGGGGAAGAGCGCCCCTCCCCCGCCGCGGGGGGCCCCCCGCAGCCGCGTCCCCAACACCAGGAGGGGATGGGGAGGGGGGTTGGTGGCTTCTCCTCCCCCTTTTTTTTGGAAAAGAAAATGTTAAGATGTTTGGGGATTTGGGGGGGATTTTTTTGGGGGGGAAGCCGAGGCTTGAGGGGAGCAGAGTAACTTTCTCCTCTTCCCGCCCCGTCTCCCCCTCCCCCCCCCACTTCATTCTAGGGAAAGTTTCTCATCCAAATAAACTCCAGACGGCTGCAGGGTCCGGGGACGGCGGCTCCTGCTTTCCCCGCGGGTTTTCACGAACAGATCTTCGCGGGGATCCCCCGGGCCTGCGCCCCGCTCCTGCGCCCCGGGGCTGCGGGGAGGAGCGGGCCTGGGCGGGCCGGGGTGGGGGGCCGGGGAGGGGGGAAGGGAGGGTCTGGAGGGGAGGGCGTGCCACAGAGGCGTGCGGATTATTTGCAGGAGGGGAGGCAAGCGCTGGGGTCCGGGCTCCAGGCCTCGCCTTCGCCATCAGCGCTCCCACCGCGCCCCCCTCCCCACCCACCCCACCGCCAGCCCTGGGCTGATCGCTTCGTGGCGGCCGTGGGATCCCAAAGGGAGCTTCAGGGAGTCTCTGCAAGCGAGAGGAAGAGGAAGAGACCCGGCTCGGAGAAGGCAGGAGCCGGGGGAAGGCAGGCCTCGGTCGGGAAGAGCGGCGCCCCGCGCGCCGGGCTGAGCTCCGCAGAGCGCCGCGCGCTCCGCAGCGACCCCTCCTGGCGGAGGGCGAGAGCGGCGCCTGGTGGCGTCTGAAGGGCAAAGCCCCCAGCCGGGAGCCTGGGTTGGGTCAGAGCTGGGATTCTTGGAGAAGGGCAAAGTCCTTCCCACCCGTGTGGAGCCCGTGCAGAACCCCACCACCGCCGCGCACACCCCCAGGTACCCCTGCTCTCAGGGTCTAGTCCCCCTCACCACCCTGCGTGAGCGTCACTTTTAAATACAGGCTAGGGTATTGAGGGGTGTGAACTGACTCACCGGGAGGTAGATGGGGTGCAGTGCTCCACCCCACCGCCAGGTCAAGCAACATCTCCCCCTACCCACACCCTCCACACACATCCCAAGCTGCAATTCTGATCTTAACTTCTAAACCAACATGACCTTTCCCACACCCCATAGCAGCCAGGGGAGGCAGGAAAAGGCAGCTGTCCTCTCTTCCTGCTGAGGAGGATTAAAGTCTGGCTGCAGGTGATTCTGTGTGGAGTGGGAGGGCGGCGGACACAGGAACCTGGTGTGAGTTTGGGGGATGGTGGGCACCCTGCAGACAGCCACGCCTGCCCCAGTTGGCCTGGGCTCTATCCCTCAGAAACTGGGGAGCCTCTGTGTGTGCTTAGAAGTGAGGTTTTTCTTTTTTAGTTGCGAGCTTTCTCTCATAAATTCACAGCTTGGGAGCTAGACTGCCTGGGTGCAAACCCTGCCTTTTTAAGCTATGTAATCTTGGAGAAGTGATTTCCCTCGGCCTATGTTTCCATTTGTCCATCACTTATGTAAAACTGATGCAAAGATTAAATATCATGTGCTTAAACAGATGAGCTGGGAAAGCAGTATGGAGGTTCCTCAAAAAAACTAAACATAGAGCTCCCCTGTGACCCAGCAATCCCAGTCCTGGACATTGATCCAAATGACCAAAAAAATATGGCCACACCAAAGCTACCAGCACAGCCATGTTCATTGCAGGATTATTTACCATGGATATGGAACCAACCAACCCCTCAGTGGATGAATGGATCAAGTAAATGTGGTATGTATACACAATGGAATTCTATGCCTCCATCAGAAAGAATGACATTGCTCCATTCATAAGGAAAGGGAAAGACTTGGAAAAAAGTATAGTAAGTGAAGTAATCTAGACCCAAAGAAACATAGGTTGCCTGGTTTCCCTCATTTGTAATAACCAGAATATGTCTAGGATATTCTTAGTAGAGGATCACAATAGCCATGTGCATATGACCGTATAAAATGATGCTTATTGCAATGAACTCCAAGAAATGGAAGCAATAGGTTTTCTTAGTGTACTATTTGAAGTTCTTTTTCTTTTCTTTCTTTCCTTCTCTCTCTCTCTCTCTCTCTCTCTCTTTCTCTTTCTTTTGCTGGCTTGCTTGCTGGCTGGCTTTCCCTTTGGTTTTTTCCCTGTTGTCACTGTTTTTTATTTCTGTACCCTTTCTCTTATATATAAGTTTATCTGATTTGGGGAAGGGAAGGGAACTCACAGAAATGGTGAGCCATAGACACTATGTTGGAAATGAACTTTACAACTTAGGGAGGAGAAGAGTCAGAGGGGGAGGGAGAAAATGAAGGAGGAGTAACATTGTTTAAAAAGAAATGTGCTCTGCCTTATTTATGTAACTATAACCCCTCTGTACATCACATTTACAATAAAATAAAAATAGACCATCTGCAAGGATGAAAAGGATAAACAGATGCACCAGTTACCATTACCTAGCAGTGTCAGGAACATAGTTTACCGAAAGGTATTAATTTTATTTATTTATTTTTGCTGGTCCTGGGGGCTTGAACTCTGGGCCTGGGTGCTGTCCCTGAGCTCTTTTGTTCAAGGCTGCCACTTGACCCTCAGCACCATTTCCAGTTTTCTGGTGGTTCATTGGAGATAAGAGTCTCATGGACTTTCCTGCCCCGGTTGGCTTCAAACTGCAATCCTCAGATCTCAGCTTCCTGAGAAGCTAGGCATTGGCACCCAGCTAGGATATCACTTATTATTCAAGTAGCTCAGAGGACAGTTGTAGGGTACAGAGACACAGCTAGTCACTAATGCCCGCCTCACTTTCCCAACCCACAAAAGAGACACAAGGATACACACACACACATTATGAGATTGTTGAGAGGACTGAGTAAATAGTACTTATGAAGGATTTAGGTCAGGTTGTTGCAAGGTTCTAGTCAATGGGAGCCATTACAGCTGATGCTATTTGAATCACCATCTGTTGGCGCATCTTAAGCCAGACCATGTTCATTCAATAATCACCCATGGATGATGAGTACTGGGTCTTAGTCAGGTAGGAAGGGTCCAAGGATAAATAAGACCAGGTCCCTTCCCTCAAGGGAGTTCCCAGTATTCTTCTGGGTTCCTGTGACCCTAATGTTTACCACTCCCAGCCTCCTTTGTCATCTTGTCATAGTGCCTTAACCTTTAGTCCTGCCTTTTCCAATGACAATAGAGGTAACTGCACCATCTTTTTTTTTAAAATTAACTACAACATAGAATGGTCTGTGTGTGTCATTCCCTCCCAGTGTTGTTCTGTTGCCTCGGATATAAGCCAGAACATCCTGTGTGTGATGACTTGCAATGTGTCAAGTGAATGAATTCAGAATCCTTTGCCGCACAGAGAGAGGGTGGGGAGAGAAAGGGAGGGTGGGACAGGAGGAGGGAGAGAGAAGGCCATCCCTAATAGCAGTTGGAGTCACCATTCTATTAAAAAATAAATACATTCGCCACCAGAGTCTACAGGTTGCTTCTTTACCTGGTTGTCATTCTTCCCTTTGGGGGGAAAGAAGGTAGGGGGGAGAGATGGGAGAAATTGCTGCAACATTTGCAACATTATTCCAGAGTAGTAAAGGGATTCTTGTCCTTTTCTTTTTCTGGTCAGTTGTGGGACTTGAACTCAGGGCCTGGGCACTGTCCCTGAGCTCTTTTCGCTCAAAGTTAATGTTCTGCCACTTCTATCCATAGCACCACTTCTGGTTTTCTGGTAGTTTACTGGAGATAAGAGTCTCATGGACTTTCCTACTGGGCTTGGCTTTGAACCATGATCCTCAGATCTTAGCCTCCTGAGTAGCTAGGATTACAGGTGTGAGCCACCAGTGCCTGGCTCATTCTCTCTTCTCTGA